ATTAACAACCATGTGGTGTTGTACTTCTAATATGGCTTTCTTATGAACCGGTGGAGACTAGTTAGGTTAGAATCCCTTAATGAACAAGTAAGATAGTCTCTTAAAAAACAAGTGGGACAATAAAGAGGCAAGCCATCGAGCTTTGAATGGCAGTCTTACCATGTGAATTTCTAATATCTACCCCTCTCCCTATAAGCGAAACCTCTGCCTCATATGATTATGCAATGAAATCATGGCTAACATATAATATATGTAATTATTCATCAAGTTCTCTATATGACATATCTGTATCATACTCATTATTCTCATATTCTTTTATACGCCCATCACAATTTCATCACTTTTTAAATCCATGTTTTTTTTTTCAATTCATACTTAAAAAAAGCATAAGAAATAATTTCACACAATCAAATTCTTTTTCACAACAAAACCATTAAATATTAACTCTATGCTACAATTGGAATTCTTTCATATATTGAAAAATACTCATATCTTCTATTCAATTATAAATGGCTATAACTAATTGACAAACAAATGTACAAACTAAATTTCCTTCGGTTAACTCAAACCTTTGAGAGGTCAAAGGTTTACTCTCAATAAAATTTCTTCACAAGCTATACCAAAGCTTGAGTAGTGCATAAGATGATTGATCTTCAACTAATCATACCAATCATCATTAATATTATTATAAACACTTTTTTAACTTCCATTAATCAATACTTTAATTACCTAAAATTTCAAACTCTTGTACTTAAGCATAACCATTAGGTTTATTAACTCTTATTAATTTCATTTAGCTTTCATTAACTAAAATAATCACTAATATAATACTCAACAATCCAAAATTACACTTTGGAGGTCTAGGGTTTATCGAAGATGGATAACCTAAGTTTACAACCTCATAAAAACTTCTAAATTATGTGTAGAACACTTAAACAACTCCCATTAGTCTCATTTAGACTAATAAGTTTAGATCCATAGCCTTAAATTTGAGAACCCTCATCTCCCAACCTCACATCTCACTTTCAAAACATATAAAGAGATACCTAGATGAAATCAAGCTTTAATTACCTCCAAAATCAACCTCACAAGTTTCATGTGGTCAATTTATCAGATTCAGTTGGAAAATTATTAGACCATGAAATTGTGTTATGAAAATCTAATGTAGACTTGTTAAGCTTGAAATATAGAGGTCTGCTTGGTTTCTATTTTCATTTTTAAAAAATTGGTTTGAATACAATTTTTAAAATTATTTTTCAAAACAAGATAAAAATAAAATTTGTTTGATTGTATTAATTTAAAAACAATTTTAGAATTAAAAAATTAGTCGATAATGATGGTTACTAATAGGTAATAGTAGTATCTTATGATAATTACTAATTAAAGTAATTACATTTTTTAATAATTAAATATAATATATATTTTGGAAGCAAGAAAAATAAAATGAAAATAAATTTAAGATGTTTCTATTTTTTTTGTTTTTAAAAATAAAAATGAAAGGAATTTTCAAAATAATTAGATTCAAAATACTCCTCCAATAATTTTTTTTAAACAAAAAACTATTTTTGAAAATTGAAACCAAACAAGATTTATCAAGTTCAGTTGCAAATGAAATTATCAAGTTCAATTAGAAACTTATTATATTATAGAATTGACTTGCTAAAATCTAAAGTAAATTTATTTTTCATTTGATATCTTTTAACTTGTCAAACTCATTCAACTTTTTAAATCAACATGGAATTCGTCAATTATATTGAAGAGGCCCGTTGGTCAAAATCTTAATTACAAATGTAAAATTTGTAACATTACTTATCAACACATTCATTATCCCCACACACACACACGTGTGGGTGTGGTATATATTTATTTTGATAATATATTTCATCAAAATTAATAAAAATTTTAAATTTTATTAACTCTATCTTAAAATTTAATAAATTTTTACATCTATCTCTTAATACAAAAAGAATTATTTTTAACAATTTTTTTCTAGCATTAAATAAGGGTAGAAAGGTAAAAAAAATATAAAAAATAATAAAATGTTTTACAAATGAGATCAAAATTAATTTTTTTTTATAAATAGAATTAAAGGAGTATATAGTCAAATGTAATTTGTTTACTTACAAAAGCAAGTAAGACATTTGCGAATTCATGTAGTTATCAACTAATTAAGGGATATAGGACAAAATATATGATTTGCACATCAGTGCGGTTGACACATGGACACTTGACTAATTACAAAAGGATAAAAACAAACAAGGTAACCACAATCATTTCATCATCGCACCCTTCTTTTTCCTCTTCCCATTTGATATTAGATCTAGGGCATTCACAGCTTTTGTATTTTGTGGATGAGACATCAACCACCGCAATTAGCCACACCTGCTTCTTTATCTGTGTATTTAGGCATGGAACAACCACTCTATTCCTCCTTCTTAGTGTTCACCATTTAAACTGGGTAATCCCATGAAGTCCGCGATCGCTTCAAACTTTCTTGAACTTTTGTAAGTCTATAATTTCTTATTTGCTTCCTACTTCATTATCATAAACCATTTTCCTGACCTTGAACAAATGAACAGTTTCCTCAATTCAGACCAATCTTCAAAAATATATATTTCTAAAGTACACTTGTCGACATGCTAACAGCAGTTGTTTAATCAAGAAAGTTTGTGGACTTGGTTGGTTTGCATAACTTGAGCAAGAAAAGAGCTTATAATTAAGTGTGCCTGGGCAGTGATTAATATCCTACATTCAACTTGTCAATTGCATTAGGGTACTTGTTAGTGAACTTTGACAATATTCAATTTACAAGGATGTCATTGATTAGTATACATACACATCAATATTAAAATAAAAAAAACTTGCCAATACTCAAATTACTAATTGTCAATATTCAAATAGCACTTGTTAACACATCTTCAATCCAACTAATAACATCTTCATTAACATCTGTTCAATAACAATGATCAATAATTAGGAAGCATGAAATGTTCAAAATGAAGCATGGGATGGGTTTTCTGACCTTTGACAGCTTTACAACCTAGCATAACAATGCACCAGACGATTTTCTCTGGAAAGGTAGAGGCACTAAAGCAAATGGTGATGTTACTCTGATTCACGAATGGGACGAGTGTCTTTGGATGAAGAGAGCAGGGGTCTTGTACTAAAATCCTCTCTATCTATAAGAGAAAATTGCCATAAAATTCCTTTATGGAGGGAAACTGTTTGGAGAGATTGAGACCAATTTAAAGACCAAATACACACCAAACCTATCACCTTACACATTAAGCTTATCCTCTTGTACCTTGCACCCCATCTCTATCACACTGCACCTTGCACATCAAGCCTATTACCTTGCATACCAAGCCTATAATAACCTCGCACAAAATGTTACATATTAAACTTCAAAAATGTCATGTAATTTACATGCTTGTAGTTTGAATAATTTGTTATCCATGTTATTATTTTCTTGTAGACTGTCACTTTTAGGATAATAAGCTATATTTGTATGAAATTTTCACCTTTATGATTTGTAAGGAGATAGCATGGGGTGTAAGGTGATAGATCTAGTCTGCATTTGGTCCTTAAATTAGTCTTAGTCCCTCAAATAATTTCCCTTCGAAGGAGAGATTTTATGGCAATTTTTCCTATTTCCATGAACATTGATTTACTTTTCAAACCTAATCCAAACACTTGACAAATTTCAAAGTTATGTTGTGTAAAATTTAAATTTAAATTTAAATACACAGAAAGGGGGATACACACACATGTACATGGGAGAATTCCATCTAAGGATCTTAGATATATTTTCAAATCAAACCCAAAACAATTGACAAAGAATTTAACAGGTAATATAATTGATTTAACAAGTTATACAAACAGTTTAACAAGTAATAAATTTAACTTGTCACATGGATTTCGCAAGCAAAATTATGAAGTTAGCAAGTAATGTAAGGAAGTGAAGTAAAGTTAAGGAATTAGCAAATCTTTTAAAAGATTAGTAATCATGTTAGCTACAATGTATTGGACGTAACAAGCAACATAAGAAAAATAACATATTGTAATTGATTTTACAAGTAATGATAACAATTTAACAAGTTACATATTTAAATTGTTACACAGGCTTCTATTATTAGTCAACTATATTATTTATTAAATGCTTTACTTTACTTGTTCATGTTTATATGTTGCTTGTTATGCACCAACAAATTAAAAAAGGACATTTTGGTAATTTTGTTTTAAAATTTTATTTTAATTTAGACCCAATATCATACAGTGATATTTTAACATGTTTTAGGTTTGATTTGAAAATATCTCACATTCATAATCTTCATCTCTTTCTATACATTTACGAGCATGCGCGCCCATAATAAGTTAAAAAGATAAGTGACGTAACCTTTTGCATTGACACATTTTTTGAATAATCAAGAACAAAAAACTTTGGGCGTTTTACCACGTTGATTACCCAAAAAAAAAAAAACACCCACACACACACACAAACAACTTAGGACTTATTTATTTTCTATTTTTAAAAACTGTTTTTTGTTTTTAAAAATAAAAAAATTTAAAAATTTATTTGAATAAGTGTTTTTCATTTAGTTATTTTTAAAATTGTTTTCATTTTTTATTTTTTTTAAATAGCAATCACTTTAAATTATTTTCATTTTATTTTTCTTATTTTTAAGATACACTACATTTAATTGTTGAAAATTATAATTACTTTAACTAATTTTTATTATTAATCATCACTATTGACTGCCTATGACCATCACTATTAATCTATTTTTTTAATTCTAATACTGCTTTTTATTGAGATAACCAAATAAATTTTCATTTTATTTTTTTAAAAAATAATTTTTAAAAACTATATTACAAAATAATTTTTAAAAATAAAAAATGAGAATAAAACCAAACAGACCCTCAGTTCCTTATAAGCAAGTGACAGGCAGACGTCATTCTGTATACGGTTTCAGATGCCCATTTGATCTAGAGTGGGCTGCTTCTGCAAATCCAATCTTTCAACAGCCCTTATTCTGTGTGTTTTTTCAAGAGGACTCGAGAGTAAATTTCAACCAGCAAGCTTAAAATACAAACAAAGTTCCCCTTCTTTTTTTTTTTTTCTTTTTTCTTTTTCAAAGGAAGAGGAGCTCCACAAAACTCGACGTCCTCCCAAGACCCACAAAAAGGCTGGGAAGAAGAAATATGCTATTAAATACAAAGGATACATTACAATTAAGAGATCCCAAATACTAATAAAGAGAACTCACTCCAACTCAAGTCAAAGGCCAGAAGACATAATCATGCACGTATGGGATAGCTAATCAGAAGGCCACACTAAAATGCGCTCCAGCTCTCAGAACCTCTTCGTGGCGTTTGACTTTCAGATGATGACCTAAATGGTCCAGAACCAAAGGGACCTGAGTCATCAAAAGCTGGAAAGCCATGACCCTGATCAAAATCTCTACTACTGCGGACAGAATCAAATCGTACTAGTGTATCCCGCGAATGTAAAAAACCACTGTCATGCGTGCTGAAAGGATCAAATCCTGAGCTGTCAAAAGCAGGCTCCGACCACTCTCTAGACCTCTGTGGGGAGGTGCCTGAACTGAAAAGAGGCGTACTTGGAACAGAATCATCAAATCTGAATCTACTGCTCGTCTGGTGGGGATCAACTGCTTGTGGTGAACTAGTTTTAATGAGGTTGAGGCCCAATTCCTCAGAGTGGAAGAAGTAGGTGTCTCCGGCTCTATCAAGATCAGTTTCCTATATGCATGTCCAAGAACGTGATCAATAGAATGCTAAATTGCCTAATGATCAAACACGTTTGAAACAATCAACTTGAATTGATACATTTTGGGCAACCAACGACACTGATTGACGGTGAGGAATCAGCAGAATGGGTGTCACTTAACACTATATCACACCTAGAATATTGAGCTCTCTCATTTCTCCATTATTTCCTGTAATTTAAGCACCTGGCATCAGGCATGCCTAAACAAGCTTTGATTATTACATATTATTCACCAGCACCCACCCTGAAGCAGAAATCTTCTGCAAGCTCTAAATTCCCCGTGCTCAAATCACTATAGTCATAACTATCGTGCAGACAAATAAACCAGTCCACGATTAATGTCAACCACTTATTCAAGAAATTAACAATCAATAACCGCTGGCATCCCCTACTTACTGAGTCCACACTATTTATAAAAATACAATTTTTTTTTTTTCTTCGATTATTACATACCCATGCACCTGCTCGACCGTTCAAAATAGTGCTTAACTTTTAAAAGCTGTTTGCCTCAGCATATATTCGCCACCCCACACACCAGAATGCATCCTTGACATGGGACAAGCCAACATGCCCCATCAAGGTGTTATTCTGCTAATCTCTCTCAGGGAACAAGGAAACAGAGACAACTATAGCTACTATCGGACATGATAAAGAAGAATAAAGAAGGAAAGCATTCAAGCAACATAAATGTGTTAAGTTTATGGGAAAGAAAAGTTGCAAAGGATAGGTGCAAGAGTTTTTCCTACCACCTTAGCAGTGCCACTAGGATTGAATCCCCAGACTGTGTCAATATCATCATTAGTGTCAAATGCTCCCCAGTTTGGTTCATCAAAAACTTTGTCACCAGAAAACAGAGACTTGACACCACCATGATCACTGCATCAATAAATTAATATAAACAATTCTTCTGCAAGACCATAAGACCTTTATCACGTGAAAAAAATGATAATGAAACTTGTCAAACTTTGTCACCAGAAAACAGAGACTTGACACCACCATGATCACTGCATCAATAAATTAATATAAACAATTCTTCTGCAAGACCATAAGACCTTTATCACGTGAAAAAAATGATAATGAAACTTGTCAAAGTTGATAGCACCAAAATTTAGTTCCAATTAACATGAACATATTAGATGGTCAACTTTTGTTAATGACTTAGGGCCTGTTTAGTTTCTGTTCTCATTTTTTATTTTTAAAAACTGTTTTCTAATACAGTTTTCAAAATTGTTTTTAAAACAAAATAAAATGAAAATACGTTTGGTTATTTCAATTAAAAAATAGTTTTAGAATTAAAAATAAACTGATAGTGATAGTTACAGGCAATTAATGATAGTGATTAATAAAAGCAATTAGTCAAGATAACTATAATTTTTAATAATCAAATGTAGTACATTTTAAAAATAAGAAAAATAAAACGAAAACAACTTAAAGTTATTTCTTTTTTAAAAAAAATGAAATTTTGAAAACAACTAAATGAAAAAAATTTATCCAAACAAAATTTTAAATTTTTCAGTTTTCAAAAACAAAAAATAGTTTTTTTAAAAATGGAAAACAAACAAACCTTTGGACTCAGTCATTCCCTTAAATATGAAGATGAGAACAAGCATCCAAAGCCACATAAAGTATAAGCAGTTCTTCAAGAAAAACCAAGAAAGATGAAGCAGTCCTAAAAACCATACCTATGGATTCCTTGTATGTTCTCTTGATCAAGGGATGAGTTATGTTCATTATTCTTTCCAACATTAAATTCCTCAGAGTCCCTTGTGGGGCTTCCAATGGCACTTCTTGCAAATGGACTGTTAGGAGCACTTACTGCTGATTCATCTTCACCTTTACTATGAGCAGATCCATTTTCAATGGCGTGATCTTCAGCAGTGTGAAGCTTATCTGACTTATCATCACTCTCAGCTGTAGCTGCAGATGTTTGATTGTCGACAACAGCAGCTTTGCTGCCCACAGCTGACTCCATTTTTTGTTTAGGAGGTGCTAATATGTTTTCCACGCTGAGAGTGAGATCTTTGACAAAAGTGAATCCTGATAGATGAAGGTAAGGAAAATAATGAAGTTTGTACAGCTCTATGAAACTAATGTGTCCCAAGCCAGTATCACAGCAAAAACAATAAATAAGACAGCAACAGTAATAAATATGAGAGGAAAATACTTAGGTTTTGATATTAATGAGATGAATAAACCGAATCAGATTTACAAGAAGACTCTGATTCTGGCCCAAAACCCTATTTCCTCTAAAAGATAACAATAACACCAGTAACACAGATTACAAGCTTCAAAACAAGAGTTTCACTCCCACTGGCATTCGAGAGGCCAGTCTCTCCTCACAATTCCATTCTCATTCTCCTCGGCCATCCCTTCCCAAGCAAAAGACTACTAATACCTTCATCCTGGCTGACACACAGCCCATACTACCCAAAAGATCCTAATCATTACAAAAAATCACAAATTACTGTTCCTTATGGCTAGGGACCAAAGGATAAGCTTCTAGACTAGTTAAAGTATTTCCACTGGAGTTATTCTTCCCCTTTGACTTCCTCTAATATGTCTTAGGAAAATAACGAGCCTTATCATTACCCTCCTTGTCCTCAAGGGGAAAAGTTGGAAACTGTTTGCAAATTGTCTCTGCACATTTCCAAGAGTTCTCAAACTTAGGTAAGTCTTGCCATTTAACCAACACTTCTCACTGTCCATTCATAAGCCTACAAACCTTCCTAATATATTGAGGCTGCACTTGCAATTCAAACTCATTAGAAAGCACTGGAGGAATGATAGGCTGTACCATAGCAGCCGAAACCGTTTGCTTGAGTTGAGAAACATGAAATACGGGGTGAATGCGGGCGGTGATTGGAAGTTCCAGCCTGTAGGCCATTGTTCTGATCTTCTCAAGAACCTTGAAAGGTCCATAAAAATGCGGGCTGAGCTTCTCATTGCTCCTCCTAGCCAAGGTTTTTAGCCGATAAGGTCAAAGCTTCACATAAACAAAGTCCCCAATCTCAAAATGCACATCCTGGCGATGCTTATCAGCTTGAGCCTTAGCTCAATTGCTCTGTAATTGTTCAATGATCTGATTTCGAACTTGAATCTGTTCATTCACATCTTCCACGACTAAAGGTTTGCCACTAAATTTTAAAAATGTAAGGGGATCCCTGCCATATACTGCCTTAAAAGGTGTCATGCTAGCCGCACTGTGGAAAGAAGTGTTGTACCAATATTCAGCCTAAGACAACCATTTAGCCTATTGAGTAGGCTTTTCATTAGCAAAACAATGCAAGTAAGTCTCTAAACTCCTATTTATCACCTCCATTTGTCCATCAAATTCTGGATGATAAGATGAGCTAAGGCAAAGTTGAGTTCCAGCTTGTTTGAACAATTCTTGCCAAAATTGACTAATGAAAACTCTGTCTTGGTCTGAAACTATGGTTTTAGGGAAACCATGCAACTTCACAACCTCATCCACAAACTTTTCAGCAACATCCTTTGCAAAAAAAGGGTGGGCAAGAGGGAAAAAATGAGCATATTTGGTGAGTCTATCTACTACTACTAGAATGGTGTCGTACCGCTTTGATTTAGGAAGCCTGGTGATGAAATCCATGCTAATATCTTCCCAAATGCTTTGTGGAATGGTTAACGGCTATAATAGACCAGCAAGAGTTAAAGCTTGGTATTTATTCTTTTGATAGACCTCACAACCCACCACATACTGCTGAACATCCCTTTTTATTCCCTCCCAGTACACCACATTGGATAGCCTCTTGTAGGTGTGCAAATAGTCCAAATGCCCCTTATTGGAGAATCATGATACTCCTTTAGTAACAAGGGGATTCTGGTGGAGCTTTTTGGTAGGACTAATTTCTCGTTATAGTGTAGGCAACCATGGACTAAGCTGTACCCTTCCACCCCTTTTTTATCAGTTATAAGTTGTTGTAGAATTATGCTCAATTTCGGGTCTGCTTGCACCTCTTTCTCCCATTCTTCCACATCATTATATTGCCATAAGGAAAAGCCCATTAGTTCTAGTGATTCTTCTCTTCTGGATAGAGCATTAGCAGCCCTATTTTCTTCATCGGGCTTGTATATAATCTCAAACTTGAAGCCCATTAATTTTGAGACCCATTGCTGCTGGTTTTCATCAGCCACTCTCTGCTCCAGCAAGTATTTCAATGCTTTTTGATCTATACGGATGATGAATTTATGCCCCCAAAGGTAATGGCACTACTTTTTCACTGCCATAACAATAGTCATGAGCTCTCTTTCATAAATAGAGCATTGTTGGGCTTTATGTGAGAGCTTTTGGCTAAAGTATGCCACAAGTCTGCATTGTTGCATCAAAACTGCCCCCACACCAATACCGGAAGCATCAGTTTCTAACTCAAAAGGAATGGTAAAATTGGGCATTGCGAGCACTAGTAGTGTAGTCATGGCGGTTTTGAGCTATTCAAAAGCCTTTTCCACTTCCAATGACCACTTGAAAGAATGTTTTTTTAGTAAATCAGTAAGAGGGCTAGCAATCTTCCCATAATTTTTGACAAATCGACGATAGTACCCAGTCAACCTTAGGAAACCCCTTGAGGATTTCACATTCTTAGGCTTTGGCCACTTCACCATGCTCTCTATCTTGGCTGGATTAGCTTGAACTCCTTCCTTTGATATAAGATGCCTTGAGTATTCAATCTTCGATTGCACAAAACTACATTTCTTCAAATTAATCACAAGCTAATTTTCCTTCAGGATAGCAAATACAGTTTCCAAATGCTTCAAATGAGTGGTTAGGTCATCACTATATATGAGAATGTCATCAAAAAATACCAATACAAACTTGCATAAATACTCCCTGAATACCTCATTCATCAAAGATTGAAAAATTGAGGGAGCGTTGGTTAATCCAAAGGGCATCACCTTGAACTCATAATGTCCTTCATGTGTTCTGAATGCTGTTTTGTGTTCATCCCCAACCTTAATTTGAATTTGGTGGTACCCACATTTCAAATCCCGCTTGGAGAAAATTGTGGCTCCCTTCAATTCATCCAATAGCTCATCTATGGCTGGAATAGGAAATTCATCCAGAATTGTAATTTTATTTAAGGCTCTATAGTCAACACAAAACCTCCGAATTCCATCTTTCTTCCTAACCAACAACACCGGACTTCAATAGTGGCTATTGCTTGGCTGAATAATTCCAGCCTGTAACATGCCCTTCACCAAGTCTTCTATTTCGTTCTTCTACATATAGGGGTATCGATAAGGCCTTATGTTCGGTGGCTGCTCTCCAAGTTTAATAATAATAGCATGATCCTGTGAACAGGGTGGAGGTAGGCCTTCAAGAACTTGGTAGACAATAGGAAATTTCTCCAAAACTCCTGAATTTCAGGACTTAAAATCATCGCTGCCAGTGAGCCCATTATATTCAATTAGAAACCCCTCCCCTTTCTTTCCTACAGAGCGAATTAATGATCTGAGAGTAGTCTAAGCCCGAGTGAGAGATGGATCACCCTGTAAGCAAATTCTCTTTTCCTTCTTGCCAATCTTCATTGTTAATTCGCTCCAGTTGACCTTCACATCTCCAAGGGATTTCAACCACTCCATTCCCAGGACTGCATCAACCCCTTTCAACGTGAAAGGATAGAAAGTTTGGATAATTTAGTACCCCTAAACACTTAAACAAAAGTCCTTACATCTTTTCCTCCCTTTCACAACAAACCTATCACCTACTGTAACAGTATATTCAAAAATCTCATCAAAGGATAATTTCAACTTACTCTATAAATCATCAGCGATAAAATTGTTGGTGGCACCATTGTCAATAAGAATAACCACTTCAGTGCCTCCAATCCTGCCCTTAACCTTCATGGTGTGATTATCGGCAAATCCAGCCATGGAATTAAGAGACAATTCCACCTATGTCCCTCCATCAGCATTTTCAAAATCCCTTCCTTCAAGTTCAGCCTCTGCATCATCTTCCTCTCTCTCTCTTTTTGCCCCCAACTCCATTATTAGTACTTGAAGGTTCTTGTTCCAGCACTGGTGGGTTGGGCTATATTTATCTCCACACTTGAAGCATAGCCCTAACTCACGTCGCCTTGCAATCTCAGCATCAAAGAGTCGTCGCGAGTTTCCTGTCCTCTTCATCGATGATCCCCAGTTGGAAAGACTCGCAACTTTGAAGTGCTCTGTTTTAGTGTCCGTTCTCTTCGAGTTCTTGGCAGATGAAGACGCTGCATTATGCACATTGTGATTTCCTTCAGTCACGTGCACAATTCATGTAGAATAAGTGGGTTGCAGCGTTTCAGGTTTGGGCCCAAACTGAGGACGTTGGGCTCGAGTAAACCTAGGCTCCTTGTACTCTCCAAGTATCTAATTCCTCTCATCTATTCACACACCCATCTCCATCAACTCTCATAATGCAGGAGTCTTCGTTAGCTTCAGATCGGCTCTAATCTCTGGTTTTAACCCAGAACAGAATGCTCCAATCAAGCATTCTTCAGAGGCCTCCTTCAACAACACAGATAAGAGCTCGAATTCTTCAACAAATTCCAGCACCGTCTTGTCTTGTTTGCTTGTGAATAGTCTCTCGTATTCACCCCCTGATTGAGAAAAGTGAAATCTGCGTAGCAACTCATTCTTGAACTCCGTCCAATGACTCAAGGGTATCCTTGTCTCCAGTCATTGGTACCAATTTAATGCTTTACCCTCTAGACATACCACAACAGCCTCGAGCTTATCCCGTTCTGCAATGGCATTTACATGAAAATATCTTTCCACTCGAAAAAGGCATCCCAAAGGGTCCTTGCCTGAAAAGAAAGGTAATTCTAACTTTCTATTATTAGACATATAACTCATTATTGGGCCCTAGGCCCAGTAATATCTTAGACCTAATTTTCCTTTTCTCCTCTTCTCATCTTGTAACGTTCTGTTTTAGTGTCTTTAATTAGATTTATATTATTAGAGATTTTAGGAGTGTTTAAGGATTTAATTAGATACACTCTCTCCTGCCCCTATCTATATACGTATCAAGTCCTTATCAA